CTCCCTATAGATACTCCTGTTATTCTTGGTGACTTTCACTTCCACTGGGACTTTGAACTTGCTATTCTCCCTGCCCAACTGTCTTCTTTCCCAAAACATCAGCTTGGTTCACTCTCTTCCTTCCTTCAGATCTCTGCTCAAATGTCACCTAAATAGTGAGGTCAGCTCTGGCTGGGTGGCTCAGTTGGTGGGAGTGTCATCCTATACACCAGAAGGTTGCGGGTTCAATTCCCAGTCAGGGCACATACCTAGTTGCGGGTTTGATCCACATGCTGGGCGAGTATAGAGGTTTCTCTCTCTCATTGAAGTTTCTCTCTTTCTCCCTTCCTCTCTCTCTAGAATCAATGAATCCTCAGGTGAGGATTAAAAAAATTACTTGGACATAATCCTTGATTGCTTTTTTCCCCTGCACCTCCACATTCAATTGACCTCCAAGTCCTACAAGAGATACTTCAAATGCATCCCCATCCCTCCATCTCTCTTGACACCACCCTAGCCCAAGTACCATATATATATTTTACTTTGTTATTTGTTTTAGTTGCCTGTTCCCCACACTAGAATACAAGTTTCACAAGGACAGGGACTTTTGCCTGTTTTTATTTGACTAATCCTCACCTTCTAAAACAGGGCTGGCACATAGAACGTACTAAAAAAAAACAGTGCTGAATAAACGAACCAATGAAAGAATGATGCATCCATCCAATACCATGGCCTTTCCCATTCCTTTACCTCCTTAGCACCCACAGCTATAACTGACACCATGATTGAGTCCTGGGCCTTGTCACCACCACAGTCTCTGGGCTACCATCTCCAACCAATCCTGCTCGCTTGCTCTGCCATTTTCTACCACAAATAATCAGCTTCATCAAAAATATATTTACATCATGGCTGGGTGTAGATCAGTGGATGAGCATCAACCCAAAAACTAAGAGGTCACTGGTTCAATTCCCAATCAGGGCACATGCCTGGGTTGTAGGAATCGATCCCCATTGCGGGATGTGCAGGAAGCA